TTGTACTTTTTATTCCTCTATATTTACCTGTCAGCTTTACTTGTGACTTTACAAATTATGATTCTATATAATATGATCACAGACATGGTGAGACACAACAACCTCCTCTCCACCATGGACATCTGGAACAGGCTGTAGAATGGATCAGCAAAAAAAAAAGCACAATATATCTAGATTTTGATGACAAAAATAGGAGGACACTGAGCAACTTCAGGTATCCCCACTGAGATAGAACCTGAGCCACAAGACCTGTCAGCCATGGAGACCTGGACAAGCACAGAAGAGAAAGCACAGCTTTCACAGAGGAGACACAGATAAATACAGAGCACACATGCAAGCATGCAGTAATAATTCAAATCAATAATTCCTTAGAATTCCTAGAATTGTATAAAAGTCCTAGTGGCAACTTTTCTGCAATGAGTAGTACTTTTTAAACTTTAAAACCTCCAGAACAAACTTTTATTTAGTGTTGATTCTGGCGCCCCCGGAGGACAAAAGCGGTAGTGTTTCGACCACCCTGAATCATTGATTTCAAGTGGAATCCAACCAAATCCACTCTGGTGGCAGGCATTTAGAATGACTACATAAAAATAGCCGGTGCTAATAATACTTAAGTACTTTTAATTAAAGGTCCAGTGTGTAGGCTTTAGTGGCATCTAGTGGTATAATTGCAGATTGCAACTCACTCGTTTCCCCCTCTCTTTCCAACCATGTGAGAAAAACTACTGTGGACCTTTAAAAAACACCACTAGTTTTTTGGGTGCATGTGTGTGTGCGTGTGTGGACTTTCTGCTGGGTATGAAAAGGAATAGATTTGGGGATGTTGCTGGGGAAATTTCCAGGATTGCTGCTCTCATTCACCTCGCAGTGATAATTCCTAGGCATGTTGACCTTTGACCTGTGGACCAATCGTCAGTTCATCAACTCAACTCTTCCACCAAGTACTAAATTTAACCTTTTACAATTTCTATGCAGAATTTGCATAACCCATGACTAAGTTTCCTGTAAAGCACTTTAGCAATACCTTTATAACACTTAAATGAATTAATAATGGTATAATCATTATATTTCACCATCCAAACGCTTTTTTTTAACCACAGCAGCCAAACGGCAGATGAGAAGACACATTAGTTTCTTGTATTGAATTTGTTCCCAGGAAAGATAACCAGCACTGTTTCTGCTCCTTTTCACAATCGCACAGATTGACACAAGTGAGCTTTTCGGTGAAACCACGGTCTTTAATTTCCATTCATGTCAGAAAAAACTCAGTGTCAGACATCATCAGCTAGTGGTGCTAAAGGAGTAATTGTGTAAAAGTGTTTTCTGTGCATACTGTTATCTGCAGTACAGTGCTGTATGCGCACGTTATCTACTGTGCTAGTAAAATGGAGATATTGGACAGGAGGAACTTCAAACACAGTATTTGCGCATTCTCAAAAAGCACGGAGGGTACAATGAATTTCACCTTGAATACACGATAAGTAATTTTCAAATAATAGGGTAATTTTCTCCAGTCAGTTGTAATCCACTGTGTAGTTTTTGTGAGTAGAAAGGCAGAAATATAGTCATAAATTATTGATTTGGAGAATGAAATACAAACACGATATCCAGCCACCACACACCAACAACAAACAAAATAAATCATGTATGATAAGAATTATAATCCTGTTCTTGAAAATGAAAGGGGTGAATTCTTTTACATTTGTAAAACCATGTTCATGACTCAAACATATCATATGTAACCAGTGCAGCACGATCTCTCAGGGGATAAACTGGCCTTTCTGCCTCTCTGTTCTTCAATGGGTTTCTGTCCCTGCAGGATTATTGGACGTCTGTGCATAATGGCGGTTCAAGAAAGAAGCACTCACTCTTTGATTCTGAGGAACTGATGTTAAATACTGATGTTTACCTCTGATGCTGTGGACCCCTGCTGTGTTTATGCTAATACAACTTCAAAACATCAACATTGGAAATATCCCAATGTGGCATCACGCTGCATATTTTTGGGCAGTTTTGCATGATAACAACAGGAATACACCACCGGAGGAAAAATCCCCAACAGTGATACAGTGCCTCTGGTCCTTTTCTTTTTATAATTTGTTTTTGAGTATTTTTTTCCACTAGGTGCCTTGCTTTAAATTGCTGAAATCACCAACCATTCGGGAACATAACAGTTAATATGCCACCCTGGATACAATAAATCCACTGGTGCGTTTAGATAACATTACGAATATTAACTGAAAGATCAGATGCTACAGTTTGCTAGTTTGGGATTATGTTTCTAAATCCAAACATTCCCTTAAATACTTTACATTTTTGTGTTGCAATTGCAGGGAGCTCTGGGTTTGTAGTCACTGTTGCTGGGAAGCAAATAAACTGATGCTCAGAAACAATAAACAACATAACACACGCAGAGTTTCCAGATTTCTTCACTGGCTTCCTCTCGCTTCCAAGTATGCTGAAAGCATTTGGTGCAGCGTGCCATTCCATATGTAACATCTTTTACTGGAAATGCCCTCTTATGAAATAATTTTGTCAGAGCTACAATAACATCCTGTGATTCACATTTTGCTGGAATAATTAAATTACTGCATGCAAGCTGCAGATGGTCTCTGTGCTTGATTTGGGGCTTTTTTTATTCATACTAGCAGCGTGGCTCTATGGATGGCAATGTCTGTTAGTTGCTCCATCACCATTTTAGTCCACCAGACTAAAATACCTAAAAAACTATATGGCATGAAATTTGGGTCACACACTGATGGTCCCCAGAGGATGAATCCTACAGACTTTGCAAATCCCCTGACTTTTCTTCTATAGAGCCAGCATCAGTTTGACATTAGTGGTTCAGATCAAAAATTGCGTTTTTTTTATTGTAAGGGTTGCTGACCCCTGCTCCAGAGTCACCAGCAGATCAAACTTAACTTATTTAGTGAAAAACCTAAAGAACTATTGGACTGGCATTATTTTGTACAGACATTCATGGTCCCCAGAGGATGAATCCTAAAGACATTAATGATCCCCTGATTTCTCAGCTAGCACCACCACAAGTTTGCAGTTTTGGTTTGGAATCTAAATAATGGCTGATTTGACAAGAGATTTCCTGACTTCTCATGTAAGCCATCGTCAGGTTGAAATTTCAAAATCCACATTAATCCATAAAAATAAGGTTAAAATAGGTTTTAAAAGAAAAATTCAACCCTAAAAACAAGAAAAACCTAAAACAAAATTAAAATTCCAGTAACATCAGGAAAGGCTCTCCAATAAAAGAATGTTTTAAGAACTCTGTCCCCTTCAGCTGGGCCTCTGTTATATACAGAAGACCTCTGCCTGAGGACCTCCTTACATTTTGAGTTTCAGGCAGTCATCATCTCATGCTCATCTTATCTCTGCAAGACAATAACAAGCTTCTATTTCTACAGCATCAACGTAAGTGCAACAAAGTGAAGACTAGAAAGGATAAAGGCAGGTTCAAAGGCACAGCTGTCCCACGGTGGAAGTAAAAATCCTTTCATGTGACCCCACAATGATGCTGTGGGATGGTGAAGAAAAAGGAAAGTGGAGGAAAATAAGACCTGAAAACAGAGTACTTCTTAAAAGCTCCTTTTTTTCATACATAGTGAAGTAGCCCATAGCCTTGAGTTTGGCAGTGTGAAAGATGTCATTCGTTTGATTCCACATGACTCGTCCTTTTGCTGTAGACAGCTTGGCAGCACGTGGATGTGGATGCCAGCACGTCTGTCTGAACACTGCAGTGAAATACTGCCCGTGAAATACGAAGCTGTCAAACGTCTCCAAATTTAGCGCTATGAAACAAAGTGTCTCCAGTGATGTTTTTACAGGGGGTGGAGAGGTGGGCTTCGTCGTATGAAGTGTTAGTCTCAAGGGAGAAGTAAAGCCAATACCTAATCAGGACTTTAGACTACAAAGGCATTTTTTCTAGGTAATTGGAACCAGTTAAAAGCTAGAGCGAAGATATGTCTCCAGAAATCTCTGGGGAAATCTGTGGCATCTGATGAATGAGCTCTCAGATAAGACGTTAAGGGTCTCGAATTGAGATAAAATCACTGGCTGAATCGAAAAAGAACTGACTAGTTTTGATTGAGCTTTGCCTGCAGTACTGACGGTGGGTGGCGGAACACATTGGAGGTTTTCTGGGGGATATTCCCGGGGTATTCGAGCTATGCGTGTCGGAGTGGCAACAGGATGGAGGTCATCGCTCATCCAGGGTCTTTAATCTTCACCAACCCCTCTCCTATTTCCAGTCTACCCGTTCCTTTCTTTCCATCTTTTTCCTCCCTTCCTCTCCGCTCTCTCGTCTCCTTTTCACCTTTCGCTCTTCCCCTCTTTCACCTCCTCCCTTTGTCATATATAAATAGTAAGAAAAACAAGGTGGAAGGGTTGGAGGAGGATGGAGGGAGTCGTAGAAGCAAACACAGCATCCCATGTCAAATGTCAAAAAACAAAAGCCCTGAAAAAACAGACAGCAGACTTCACTTTCCTGGTGACAGATTTACTCTGTCTAGGTTGTAAAAGTGGGTGGCCCAAGCTACGAGATTGTGTTATTATTATCTGTGTGTGTGTGTGTGTGTGTGTTTAGGTTTGGTTGCATGACCCCCCACTGAACTGCGAAGGAGCACAGGAGGCACAAGAGTAGAGGAGCACACAGGGGTGGAGTGTGGTGCGACAAAATGGATGGCAGGGAGGGAGGGAGGGCGGGGGGTGAAGTAAACAGAAGTGAAGAGAAGGGAGAGAAAAAGTTATGAAAACAAAAGTATTGTAGCAGATGGGGCCAGGATTTACCTTGGAAACGGTATTACAGCAGAGGAACCGGGGGAGCACTGAGGAGGGGCGTGAGCCAAGCTGGAGTTTATCACAATCTCTGGAGACTGATGAACAAGGGGGGTGGGGGGGTTCCCACACACACAGCAGCAGACACACTGTGGGGGGAAGAGATATAAAAGGGCTCCCAGGGAGAAAGAGCAGTCAGGCAAGCGTCCGAGTGGCCGTCCTGCTCATTTCTACTGCTGTGCGTCACTGAGTGTGTTTACGCGAGTGTATGCGTGTGTGTGTGCGTGTGAGAAAGTGCACATGGGTATCAGAGAGAAGTGTGCTGTCTCCACCACAAAGGAAGTCTGACAGGTTGTTGTTTTTTTTCAAAACATAAAAGGAATTAACGATTGAGTGGATGGAGGGAGAGGAAGAGTTGCTGAAGCCTGGCTGTTCTTGAACCTGAAAACGGTGTTTGATTTTCTGGTTTTTCGGTTGAGTTGTTTACTCCTCTCCGTCTGAGTACTTTTTACTTCCACCACGGGGAGTCAAGAGGTGACTCTTGAACTGCTTGCAGAGGAATTTAAACAGAGGCAGAGATTTTCTCCCTCACAGCTGCCACTGTTCTGAGTGTCATTTTGTACTTTTATTCTATTTTTCAATCAATCATTTGATGCTTCGAGGCAGAATGGACACCTCACTTTTATCAGCTGTATACAATCGGACTTTTGCGGATGAACATTTTTACCTTGAGGACAATATTGATGGTTTTGACATCACCATGGCTATACTCTACTTGGTGGTTTGCATCCTGGGACTAGCTGGGAACTCCCTCGTCATTGCTGCCATTTTGAAATTGGACAAAATGTCATCTTCCACAACGGTGTACATCTTCAACCTGGCTCTGGCCGACGGACTCTTCATGGTTGGTCTTCCCTTCATAGCGAGCCAGAACTTCCAGAATCAATGGATGTTTGGCGACCTGGTGTGCAAAGTGGTCATGGTGCTGGACGGCATCAACCAGTTCACCAGTGTCTTCTGTCTGACGGTGATGAGCATCGACCGCTACATGGCGCTGGCCGACCCGCTTCGCTTTGCCCGGTGGAGAACGCCACGATGTGCCAAGATCGTGTCTGCGTTCTTGTGGCTGTTCTCGCTCCTCACCATCCTTCCCATGGCGCTTCACTTCACAGCAGATCGAGGCCTGTGTATACCAGACCTTGTTTCGGATGCCTGGTGGCTCGGCGTCTTGTCTTACACCTTCGTCATGGGGTTCGCTTTGCCTTTCACGGTGATGACGGCCTCCTACACGGCGCTGCTGCTCACCCTGAGGTCCCAGCGGGTCAGAGCAACGACGGCGAACCATGAGAGCCACCGGCTTGAGCGACAGGTCACCAAAATGGTGGTCGCAGTGGTGTTAGTGTTCGGGATGTGTTGGCTGCCATTTTACACCTTCAACTTCTACTCCCTGTATCAAACTGGCCTGGTGCTGACCTTCGCCAGAGCTTTTGAGTTTGTGGTCCTGCTATCGTACTCATGGAGCTGTGCCAACCCCATCCTTTACGCCTGCCTCTCCGACACATTCAGGAGACACTTCCGCACCCTCCTCTGCCCCGCCGCCAAGTCATCTCCCAGCATGCAGTGCAATACTGAACGGTATGACTTACATGACACAGGTGTGCGGGATGTGGCCATTCTGGCATAAAGAGAAAAACGAGAAACTGACTTAATATTTTTCTCCATTTCCTGCTTCTTTAATGTTATTTACTCACTGCTTATATATGTGATAAATATTGATTGTATTTTTTAATTTTTCCACTTCACTTGTAATGTATTGAGGGTACATTATTGCCTCCAAGAATGAAGTTGTACATATTTTCTTTAATTTCCGGAACAGATTTCCTCTTGTTCTGACTGTACATTGAGTTGTGTGTTAAAAACCCATGAATTGTGTTTGGCACTGTCTCAGATGCAAATGTTTGATCAGGGGTTTAAAGAGATTGGGGGTTTTCAACACGCTTGTGCTTGTGATAGCACATTTCACAGTTTGAGTACAGACTGTGAATCTTTCTGCCCAGCTGAAATAGTCATAGTCATCATTTTTTACCCTGTGGAAATGAAAAGTCGGCTTTGTACTTTCCAATATCTCAAGAAGAGTTTCTTTCACAGAATTCGAATAAGAAGAAAATCCTCATCAAACAGCTTAAATCAATTTGACTTTCCATAACACTCTTTATCTGACAAATGCCCCATCTTGAGACCAACCTCCTGCTCTGTCTTGACTCAGCCCCGTTGTATCATTTGTCTTCTAATAACTCAGACCTGCTCCACTGCGGCTCCTGTTATACTGCATTTCACTAGAACTAATGAAAAGAGGCACAAGAGGGATGAAGTGTGGACAGGTGGAGTGTAAACAGAATAACATGGGTCACATGCCTGTGGCAAAAATACCAGCACGAAGACGCACACAGACAGATCCTCCGCTCCCACAGCTGGATTATGTCCTGGTGGCTTTAAGTGTAGGGGGGCGTCAGATGTGTGTGCCTCGGTGGCCATGTGCATGCACCTGTACACATGCATGCTGCAGGTTTACTGTGGTATTCTGCCTTACTTAAGAGGATTGCCGTAAAAAATACTTTTAGGGAAATGAACAGGATAAAGACTGAACACATATTTTCACTTTATTTAGTGAGATTATTCCCATCGGCACTTGTCTTGCGAACAGCGAACGGTGAATGCCTTAATCTCTTCCTAAATTGCTCTAAAATTGATACCGCCATCCAGCTTGTTTCAATTTTGCTCTCAACTGAAAACCTTGTATCTTTAAAATGTCAGCAGTTGAGAAATTTAAAAAGCAGTCGTGGGGCTTTTAGCTTGATGAAAATGCATTTTGATGTTTTGATGGAAAAACTCTCACAAAGTCACACAGAGGCATGTAATCCATCAATTTCAGCGAGAACTTGAAAGTCACCCAAATGTATGTAATAATAATAAATAGCAGTTACATGCTTCACATTGATGTTGCTTTGGTTTTAAAAACCCCTTCTCCCTGGATTTAACACGCAAAAACACATAAATCAGGCATAAACACACCCAAAATATATCCAATTGCAGCATTTGGCCAATAAACAAACACGAGATACATAAACAGAAATATATTTTTGCACACAGATGAAAAGTAAAGATGTCCTGCTCATTTACAAACAGCCTTGTCTAAAGTGAATTGTTGGAGCAGATGTTGGCTGTCAATTACCAGTGATGTAAATATGTATAAATGAGCAAAGGATGTGTGGGATGATCTGTATTTTGTCGAGAGAAACATACATCTGATGTCAGAATGTGTACCAGAGATGTGCCTTGTTTTATTAAAACTTGCTGTCAAAGTAATCCATTTACACCATATCTAAACATAGAAAACACATGTTTTATAATGCCAGTTCTGTCATGAGTTTTATTAAGGCTGTTAATCAAGACATGGGACTGGGACTTCACTTATATTGATCATATAGTCACTCTATGTATGAGCATTTCCCAGCTGTTATTGCTATATTGAATGTAAATAAATATAGTTGCTTGTGTTTGAGTCGTATTTCTGTTACTATATTCACTGCAAAGGAGTGAACCACAACCATGCCATGTACTCTTTTTTCTTTTAAATGTTTTTCATCAATCATATTGTCTAGAAAATTCATAAACAGAGTTAGAAATGACCACTATGAGACTTATCAGCAACCTTACATCACATTTCCGACAACACTATCACTCTCAAAGTCACAGCAGTACTGTACTCACTAACATTGTTTTGTAATTTTCAGGAGAGGCTCATTGAAGTAAAAGAATATTAGTTATCAAAAGGAGATCCGAAATGAATATGTCTTAGGAAGGGCCTTTTTATGTATTTGGTGTAGTCTAAAGTTGTGTCAAACAGCAATATAAGGCTATCTTGGCTCAATTTTTGAGCTATGGTCTATGGAGTCAAATAGCATAATCCTGATCTTGGCACAGCGAAACCAAGCAAGTAAACTTATTTTATATACCCAACAGTATATAACATATTTAAAATCAGCTCCTTACATGTTTATGCATCAATAATAATAATAATAATCCAATAATCATCATAATCAAACATAACACCCTGGAAGGGGCCATACCGCATTACATTTACTTTTGATATTTTAAGATTATTTTGTTGGCAATACTAATCTGCGAAAACCCTTTCAGCTTGTGACCCTTCATAAAACACTTGTGACTACTTTGGGTCCCTTGTAACTTTTCAAAAGTCTATGAGTTGTTAATTCCACCAAAGAGACTTCTTTTTCATTATTATTATTATTATTATTATTATATTCGTTCCGTGTCCAAAAACTAAAAACAGTCCAAAAACTAAACACAGATTTGTGTAGCAGAACGTTGCTTTTTCCTCTCTCATTGACAATTAATCATCTCACGACTCCCCAGATTTATCTTGCAACCCTTTGGAAAACACTGAAATTCTCTGGAGAATTTAGAGTTTTCTAAGACACCATGGTCTTCTTCTGTAAGATTAACAAACAGAGAACGTCTGCTTCGAAACTTCCCCCCGGAGGGGACTCTGTGAACTGGAAAGACTCGGTAAATGTCAAGCCTGCTAACTGAGACCCACTAGTGTCTGCTGGCTTGTTTTTTAAAGAGCTAATAAACCTCTGCCACATAAATTTTTAAGGACGCTCAAGTGCCAACAGCAGAGAAGAATTTGATGGACAGTAAGAGGAGGCCAAGTTCAGTGTCAGCCCAAAAGCACAAAACACTTGCATGGCTAAAATATATAGCATATTAAGACAGTTCTGACATGATATCATAGGATTTAATAATTGTGCAGGGATGGATGACTTATGCCTTCGTCTCAAGTTTCAGTGTGCTTACATGGGTTTCCAACATTTGTTTAAATGTTCGCTGGTATTGCTCAATGAATGAACAACATTTGCCTCTTGTCCGTCTCCATTTTTAACACATTAAATAAAGTAGCCCTAAAATAAATCACAATTGCCTGTCTTGTGTGGTCTTGTATCATTTCCAACCTGCAGTCACCGCCTTAAAAAAGGGAAACTGCTGTGTTTAAAAAAACTGGGTAAAAAGGTGTTTGGGTTTACCTGAGGGTGTCATTGAGTCCTTGGTCATATTATCTGTCTCTGAACATTGAGGTGGGGGAGGGGTGATAGGTGGTGGAGTTCATGAAGGGGATAATTGGGGCATGTGTACTATACTGTGTTATAACCTCGTTGGCTGCACCACAGCTCGATTTTGAAACATAGGAAGAGCCTTGAGATGCAGTTCTTCTGACGGCCACCAGACGCTGGCTTTTTGTGTGAAGTGAGTTAGTACTTTTAAAGGTCCTACTGAGAAAGTGGATTTTTGGGCATTTTCTTAGCAAAAAAAACAATGATTCATTTTTTTTAAAATAATGAGCCTCTTCAAAACAAAGATGTTCATTTACAGCAAAAGTGCAATTTTGCACAGATTTTATTCTTTTAAGTGAACATATTTCATTTTTACATAGGCAAAAAACAAAAAAAAGGTTATTAAGATGACTATATAATGTAAAAAGAACTAATGATCAAATACAAATGAGTCATATACTACGCTGTTTAGTCTTTGCAAAACATCAGATTCGCTCATCTGAGTGAGACAGTGGTTGATGTATCCTCTGTGGTAATCACTGATTTGTATTGCGCTAGTATTTTCTCAACACTTCAATCTGGACGCAGACTTTGGGCAGAAGTTGCTGTGATGAAAGTAAAGTAGCCAAATCCACAGCTGTTATTGTGCTCAAATCTGACGGAACGACCCGATTCGTGATTGTATTTTTTTCAAACGTCCCAAAAAAATCATTGTAGGGATTGAACAAACAACATAAAGTATGAACTGGTGAACTTCCGAGGTGCTGGTTGGTAGATTTTACCTTTGGACAAAGCAAGACTAGCTGGTCGTAACGTGCTGAATGATAGGAGGTTTACAATATATTGTTACACCATCCAAAAGGTCACACTAATCAAATGGTCTCAAGTGTGTGATTGTGTGTGTACTGCATGTGTGTGTTGGTTCTAATTAAGGCACTGACTTTTCATTGCTCCTCTTTACTCTGACTGATCCAACCTTCACCCTCTACATGTAATTAAGACCAGATGCAAACTGCCCAAGAGGTTCCTCAGTAAAGAATATTGATGGGACCCCTAAGAGTAAGTGAGTGTGAGAGTGTGCGTGCGTGTGTGTATGTCAATGTGTGTATTTGTCCATGGCATGATTAGAAGAATCAATCAATAAAGGTCAATTAGGCAATTTAGTCCACTCGCTGTCAGGCATTTCTTCATTTCTTTCTCATGCCTCTTTTTCGATTTTCCTCCTCCCCCTCTCCCTCCCTCATTCCTGTCATTCCCCTACCTCATTTCCCAACAATGAAATTATCTTTTTAAATCCTTACTTCCTATTTCTTTCTGATTGTGCAACAGCACTGACAGCTGGCTAAAATTTACATGTTTATGACAAAAACAGGACACTCCTGAGCCAGGCTTGCCGTATGGCAGGGGACCAGGAATCATTATCACTTTGCTGTGTTCTTGGAAAGCACAGAAATGTGAAATATAAACTGAGTTAATGTTTTTTGCCCTCAAACTGTTTTGCAAAATTTTTAAATTACTTTCACATCTGCCATGTGGAAGCCTTGGTAAAAGCCTTGGTAAAAGTTTTTCACAGCACATGTACAGATGCAGCTTTCTTTTACTTTTAATAGAAAGCTGTAATAATTCCACTTTTCTCGAAAACAACATTAGGAAGAATGAAGTTTCTGAATCTGGTAATGAATCTGCTGAGAGATACCACTCCTGTATTATGTTGCACTCATTTATTTATGATTCACTGATGTAGATTATTTAATAATAATAGTTATCTGCAGTGCTAATGCAATAGAAGGCGACTGAGTGTGTGATGTTATCTGCAGAGGCTCAGACACAGAGTCAGTGAAGTGAGTACAGGAGCGTACACTGTTTAGGAAGAAAAACATCCTAATGCTTTTTTATTTGATTGCATGTTGCACTGCTTATTGCTGTGTGTTTGATATAACTCATGTCACACAACTCGTATCTCATATCTAAATAGCTCTAGATACTACATAGTCGCCATTATTCAAAAGCCACACCAATGTTGACAATGGTTTTTGTAGCATTTTTTACTTCTTCTACATTTGTTTCCTTTTTTGTCTTTTTTAGCAGTGAAAACTTTAGGTACAGCTGGAAATATACAATTTGGCTTCTCTTCCGGTGCTATAGGTATACCTACTTATAGTTAGACAGGCAGGTGGCCTTATTATAGGCCTGTGACTGCTACACGTACCAGGGTTTTCAGAGCATTTCATTGATTGATTTCTGTTGGGATGTAAAGAGAATTTCAACAAATATAACAAGAAATGCTTCTGAAATACATTAGCTACCCTAGATTTAATACTTCCCAGAACAAGGAGAGCCAACACTCCTTGAGCAGCTACTTTATCAGAAATACAACAGAGGAGCAATTGGTGTATCTGTTTAAAGTGCAGCCAAACAAACTCACATAAAGGAGTCAGAGAAAAAGAATTGCAACCGCCATTTGATTTCATGCTGTGTGAGTAGTTTTCCACACAACAGCAGGACACAGTAAAAGAGAAGTTGGTGGTGCACGGTTCATCATCTCGTCTTCATCGAACGGCTCACTGTGGCTGTTCTGCAATTTTTAAAACTGATTTTAAAAAAAGACTGTTGTCTTGTTCTGCAGGTGCATAGTTAATGAACGGCCACTAACTGCGGCAACGACGTAAAGAGGGTGAACAGTGAGGCCCAAAACAGTGAGGCTCTTATCAATTACAGGATCATTTTCCTGCAAATCCCTTGTGTGTTTTTAGGCAATTTGAATTTTAAGTATGGAAACGGCAGACTACGCCACAAACAATTAAAACTGAGAGAGGTAATTAGTGAATGTAAACACATTAAATGGTTATTGCACAGAGGAATCCGACCATAAATAATATCAAAAATGGGGTGTGTTTTTATGAAAATCTTAAAGCGGTTAATTGATTTGGGTTTTCTTTTTAAATAAATAACACTGAATCAAATGACAACGTGTATTGTGAAAGGGGTTGCTCGTTTTGATTAGCCTACAGAGAATATTCACTCTGCAGCTCCCCTGAGCTTTACCGAGCTTCATAGTGACTTTCAGCTCTTTTTCTGTGCTTTTTCCACATGAGCTAAGATCACTGTTCATATCATCTAATCATCATATCATATCAACTAAATAATCTTGTGTTTAATATGTACATAAAATGAGCTTTAAAGAGAACAAACAGGGTTGTAGATGACATACAGAGAATGGATCAGAGAAATATTAAACCACAAGTAGTGGATCAACCTTAAAGCTGAAGAACATCATTTGTTTTTGAAGTTAGCAATAAAGTGGATACCCTTTCAAAGCCAATAATAATGAATAATATGAGTCTCATTCATCTTAAGAAACCGATGGCCATCT